GGCGCGCTCGCCGGCTCCCCCCGCTGCCGCTCTGGGTGCTGCCCGGTGCGCTCGCCGGCTCCCTCCGCTGCCACTCTGGGTGCTGCCCGGCGCGCTCGCCGGCTCCCTCCGCTGCCGCTGTGGGTGCTGCCCGGTGCGCTCGCCGGCTCACAGGCCTGCATGGCTCCCTTGACGCCAGTGCTGCCTCGCTCCCCCAAGCCGCGGACTCCGGGGTCACACAGGTCAGAGGAGCAGGCCCTCCCCGGGTGAAGTCGAGAACTGATCACTGCTTATGCAGCCCCCTGGAGATCCTCTGGAAACCTGCTCTCCCGTCCCTTACTAGATGGGCAGGGAGCCTGGCGTAGGCGCTGGCCAGGCCAGCTGTGGCAGTCCCATGTCTGTTCCTCCAGCTGCTTCCCCATTTGCGGGCAGGCCCCCTCTGGCTCAGTACTGGGGCGGGGGGTCAGCCTGGTGAAAGGGCCTCTGTGTCCAGACTTGGCTGAAGATGGGCTGGGTGACCTCTTGCTCCTTCTCCCTTCCAGAGAGCAAGCGCGACCTCTACGACCGCTACGGCAAGGACGGGCTTACGGGGACCGGTGAGTGACCCACCCGGGGGAAGTGGCCTTTCCCGCGGACCGGTCTGGATGCACATCCTGGCCTAGGGGACCTCCTTCCCGCCTGGGCATGAAGCGCCCTTGGTGCCCTGTGTAACGATGCTGGCTTTGGTGGGACCCAACTGTGAGAGCCAATACAGGACAAATTGCTCAGAGCAGGGCAGTTACAGCCCAAGGCTGGGGTCCTTTGCACACCCAGGCAAACCAAACCAGCCCAACAGAGAGGACTTCGGTCTCACCCCACTGGCTAACCACAAGTCACACAAGCAATTCCCTGACACTCCAGTTTCGCAGTATCACCACCAGTGCCACTCGTTATGGGGACAAATGGTTATGAAAACCAATACCCCAATAAAAGAAAAAAGGTTCTCCTGATCCCAAAGGATCAAGCCCCAGACCCAGGTCAATATACAAATCAGATCTTACCCACAAATCACGCTATTGCCAATCCTTTAGAATCTAAAATTTAAAGGTTTATTCATAAAAGGAAAGAGATAGAGATGAGAGCTAGAATTGGTTAAATGGAATCAATTCCATACAGTAATGGCAAAGTTCTTGGTTCAGGCTTGTAGCAGTGATGGAATAAACTGCAGGTTCAAATCAAGTCTCTGGAACATCCCCAGCTGGGATGGGTCATTCAGTCCTTTGTTCAGAGCTTCAGTTTGTAGCAAAGTTCCTCCAGAGGCAAGAAGCAGGATTGAAGTCCAGATGGAGATGAGGCAGCTGCCTTTTATAGTCTCTTCCAGGTGGTAGGACCCCTCTTTGTTCTTACTGTGGAAAATTACAGCAAGATGGAGTTTGGAGTCACATGGGCAAGTCACATGTCCGTGCATGACTCAGTTTGCAGGCCGACACCATTGTTTACATGTTAGTTTGAACGTTCCCAGGTAAGCTCAGATGTGGATTGGCGTCTCCCAAAGTCCATCGTCAGTTAAGTGTTTCTTGATTGGGCACTTACTGAGAATAGTCCTGTCTCAAGAAGCTGACCAAATGCTTCGCTGAGGCTACTTATCAAAACATACACCTCTACCCCGATATAACGCTGTCCTCAGGAGCCAAAAAATCTTACCGTGTTATAGGTGAAACTGCGAACTTGCTTTGATCCGCCAGAGTGCGCAGCCCCGCCCCCCCGGAGCGCTGCTTTACCGCGTTATATCCGAATTCGTGTTATATCGGGTCGCGTTATATCGAGGTAGAGGTGTGTAAGTTACAAGTAGATAGCCAATATTCATAACTTCAACTACAAAAATGATACACACATACAGACAGCATCATCATAACCAGTGAATCATAACCTGTCCATAGACACCTTACCCGACAACCTTTGTACAAGAGTTGCAAATATATAACAGTGGTTGCAACAATGATCGATACGGTCACAGGTTATGTCAATAACATCACCCCCTGCCCCAGCCATTCCACTGAAAGTCTCCCGAGGTACAGCATGGTCCTATGTCTGGCCACCATTTTAGTGGGGCACACCAAAAAAATCTGAGCTCTCCCTTACCTGGTGCAAATTGCTGGAGTCACCTAATTCCTCCTGGAGTTGGGCCCAGCCCCACCAGCCTCCTCGGAGACACTGGTGCTGAGACAGAGGAGTGTGGGGGCGGGTGGCTCCAGACCCTCTGGGGGATTCTCCCCACGGGCGTTAAGGGCTGGGCTGACCCTAACTATGGTCAGGGAAGCTCTCTCGACCAGAGATCCCCATGGGAACCGCCTCACCAAAGGCTCCCATGCATTGCATCCTGAGATCCATAGTGTCCAGAGGCCACAGTTCTGGGTGAAGGGCTTTCCTTTGTTGCCTGGTTTAGGGTGTTAATAATATTAATTTGGATAGTGTGGGTTTTAGGCTCGCCAGTCTGTTCTTGTCCCGAATCAGGCTTCACAGAATTTACAAAAGACCCTCGGGGGTGTGACAGGAAGCTCACATTGAGACAGATATAGCCGTAAAGACTTTTTATTAAAACCAATGAAATAGTAATTAAATGGTAAAATAATGAGAGTTACAAAGTTACAATTGTGTTACTGCTATTCAAAAGATACATATGGTAATACAGTATTGCAGGCGACAAAGCTTTGGTTAATATACTCACACCCTTGCTTGACAACCTGGTGGTGAAAGTCACAGGACCTCTGGCGGTTCAGGTTTCTCAGTTCTTGAGGGAGAGATGCAGAGCTCAGAAGAATCTGGAGTTAAGAGCTATCGGAGCGAACTTCAAGTTTACTTAACTAACTTAAACTTAAACTTAAAACCTAATACACAAAACTAAGAGCAAAAGTTTAGGGAAACCAAGCTTAGCCTAGTCCCCTTGGAACTTAAAGTTTGAAAAGAAAGTGAGTATGGCCTACTCATAGTTAGTAGTTGTCATGGATAGATAGATAGATTCTAGCGAGGTGGGTCACCTCTTTTATAGGGCACAAGTGCCGGAAATCCTTCCTCCTATGCCCAACTTCCGTTTCTCACCCACAGAAATGTTAGGGTACACTCACCCCATAGGCTAGTATGCTTGTGCGTATTCATGACATGTACATACACACATAAGTTTGTTTTGGTTCTTTAGTCATTTCAGTTCTTTCCTTGTGGTGTACCTGTTAAGTCTGTGGGTACAACATTGAAAAAAAACCCTATACTATTCTTCCATTGTCTATTTGTCTAGATAAAAGGTCTTAGACCGGGGTGGGCAAACTTTTTGGCCTGAAGGCCACATCGGGGTTTCAAAACTGTATGGAGGGCCGGGTAGGGAAGGCTGTGCCTCCCCAAACAGCCTGGCCCCAGCCCCCTATCCGTCCCCTCCCACTTCCCGCCCCCTGACTGCCCCCCTCAGAACCCCCGACCCATCCAACCCCCCCTGCTCCTCGTCCCCTGACCGCTCCCTCCGAGGACCTCCCGCTCCTAACTGCCCCCCAGGGACCCCACCCCCTATCCAACCCCCCCTGTGCCCTGACTGCCCCGCCCCCTGACAGGTCCCCTGGGACTCCTATGCCTATCCAACACCCCCTGCTCCCTGTCCCCTGACTGCCCCCCGGTACCCCCGCTCCCCACCCGCTTACCATGCCAGAGCCAGCCGCACTGCCTGGCAGGAGTGGCAGGCCAGAGCGCTGGTGGCGCAGCGAGGTGAGGCTGCGTGGGAGCGGGGACAGCAGGGGAGGGGCTGGGGGTGAGCCTCCCCGGCCGGGAGCTCAGGGGCCAGGCAGGATGGTCCCGCGGGCCGGATGTGGCTCGCGGGCCGTAGTTTGCCCACCTCTGTCTTAGACATATGCATGGGCGACTTCCTGTTTAGGTAAAAGGTCTCAATATGTAGGTCAACTTTGCGATCTGGGTGAAAGGTCCCAGATATAGATATACTAACTTTGCCTTAGCTTAACATACAGGTTTTGGCCCGTGGGTCCCTTGCGTTACAGCCAGACTTATTTTCAGTATAAATCTATAAACCTGTTACAATAAATCAAATACTTAAACTATAAGAAAGAATATATATATGCAAGCAAGCAGGTTAATCCTTTAGGCTACACCTGGCTACAGAGCTCTGGGGATCCCAGCCTTGCCAGCCCCCAATGACCTCCTGTTCTCCTTCCCTGGGAAGGCAGGTTTGTAATGGCCAGCGTCTGCTTTCCCCCCAGGGACCGGGGATCCCCGGGGTGGTGCCGGAGCTCCGGGCTTCACCTTCACCTTCCGCGGTGCGGACGAGGTCTTCAGAGAGTTCTTTGGGGGACGAGATCCTTTCGCCGACTTCTTTGGTGAGCATTAGCCCAGTCTGGTGTCCTCCTGAGGTGAGGTGGGCCAAGCCATCCCCACGGCCCATCGGCTGCCCTGGGGGAGTGAGCCGGGGGCCTGATGCCCTGCCTGCGCAGCTCCAGTCGGCTGTAATACAGCCAGGCATGGGAGCGCGGCTGGAGCAGCCAGAGGGGGAGCTCGTCCCTTCAGCCCCGATGGGATCTCGCCCTGGCCCAGCCCCGAGCATCACACCCCCTTGGGCGAGCCGGGGGTGACTGGACTCTCCCCAGGAGTGGGTGTGACACCCTCCCACCCTGAGATTTCACCCGGCCAGGCTCCAGGTGACTCATGGCTTGGGTCCAGCACCAAACCAGGACTCGTGTTACCAGGCAGAAAGGCCTGGCTCCGTAACTCTCCCGCCCCTCGGTGCTGAGGGCCCGTGGCAGAGCCCCCCAGGGATCGGTGCTGTGGGTTGTCGGTGTCATAGAAATTCCTGTCCGTTCCAGCTGAGGAATAAGGAGAGACGGACACAGCTAACCAAGCAAGGAGCCCCGGGAGGGGCGATCCGTTTATTTCAATTGCAATTGGGTTCGAGCTCATAAGTCAGCAAGAACAAAGAAAACACTTACACCAAAGCATTATATGCAGTTGGTTATGATAATCTATCGCTCTATGAGTGGCCAAAATTTGCCATCATTACCATACATAATTAGCAAGCTACATGTATCTGCCCCTCTTAATATCATCGGCGAGATCAGGCTCCGGTACAGAGAGACAGGAGACAGGGCTCGTTTCCAGGCTCTGGTTCATGCTCCACCGCAGAGCTGGGCCGCAGCCCGGCCCCGGGCACTGCTCAGGCTGGGGCTGGTACGTTCTCTGTAGCCCCAGTGGGATGCCTGCAGCCTCTGCTCACCTCCCACGGCCCCACACAAACGTTCAGCACTTCCCCTTGTTTCACCCCTTCCCAGTGTGGTCCCTCCGCTCGTCCCCCCTCCGAGCCGATGCTCTTTCCTCCTCGTGCAGATCACATTAGAACCGCCTCCGGGCAGGGACCTGGCTTTGTTCCTGTCTGTGCTGCTCTGTACGTCGCCCTAGATAAATGCCACCACCACGCCAGGAAGAAATTAGCCAGAAAATCGTGAGCTGAGAGATTTCAGGCAGCCAAATCCTGCCCCCTCCTAATCCCCGCCCCCCCCCCCCCCCCCCGCCCCCCCCTCCCCCAACCCCCGCCCCCCCCCCACCTCGGAGCCATCATAGAATCATAGAATATCGGGGTTGGAAGGGACTTCAGGAGGTATCTAGTCCAACCCCTGCTCAAAGCAGGACCAACCCCAACTAAATCAATACATGGCCATCTCCTTTCCCTGCCCCATTCCCTTCTCCCCACCCCTAGCCAGCAGTAACGCCTCTCGGGACTCCCCGAACCTGCCCCTCAGCCATGTCCCAGAGACGCAGACAGACACGGCTTTGGCATCCAGTTCTCAGCCCGCGCCTTGTGCCCAGAGTCCTCCTGGAGCAGGCTCAGCTTCGTACCCGCTCCTGCCCTCAGAACGTCCATGGAATAACCTCGCCAAGGGTGCCAGGATGTAACCATGGGCCCTGTGCAGCGTCGGAGCCATTCGCAGCCGTGTGCGTGTGGGCTGTGCCTGGCAGGGCCGCTTTACCTTCTCTCGCAGTGGGAGTCAGTATCCGCTCCTGGCCCCACAGCGCAGGGTGTGTCTCCGTCTGTTGTTCCAGTCCCTCTTGCTGAGGGCTATCTCCGGGCTGCAGGCCCTGGCTGGCACACTATGTGGCTGCAAGCCAGCCCAGGACTGTACAGACCAGAGAGCTGCTTGGAGCTGAGCAGGGAGAGGGCTCTGACAGACCCAGCTCCCAGCTGGCTTGGATTCGGGGGGGAAGGGGGGAGGAGCACAACTCCCCTGTGAGTTAGCACCAGGCAGAAGATCTGATGGTCCTGCATGACCAGAATGGACCTTAGTTTTCAGGCCATCAGTGACTCTGACCAGCCCCTCGAGTCGCTGGAAGAGAAGTACCTACATGGGACCAAGAGCTCCACTATCAGTAGGGTGACCGGACAGCAAGGGTGAAAAATCGGGACAGGGGATGGGGGGTAATAGGTGCCTATATAAGGAAAAGACCCAAGTATCGGGACTGTCCCTATAAAATAGGGACATCTGGTCACCCTAGCGATCAGAGGCCTCTGTGGTCCTGCCCCCAAAGGCAGAGGGAGATCCCCTGGCTGGGGGTGAAGCGAGCCAGATTCAGACTAGCAAGGAAGGTGCCAACAGTGCGGGGAACTAGCCCTGGGGCCAGCTCACTCAGGGATCTGGCTCAGTGTCTTCAATCCCAGAGACGCTGCAGCCCAGCGAGGAGTGGTGGGCGTGACGCAGGCATCTCTGGGCTATGCAGTGGGTTGGGCGACGGTCCCTTCTGGCCTTGCAATCCATGAATGAAATGACCCCCTGCGCCAGCCTGCTCCGCCCGCCCCATTGCTGGGAGGAGGAGCAGCGAGGGCTGCCACCTGCCAGCCGGCACTCGGCAGCCGTTCAGCCCTGCCTGGCTCGTGCCCAGCTGCAGGGTGATATTAGTGCTGATACAGCGCCCCAAATCTTCAAAAGTGCAGGGGCAAGGCCCCTGCCCCACAGAGCCTGGGCTCTCCGTGGACGGGGGGCAGGAGCCCCAGGGCTGGCGGGTGGCCTGCGGCAGGCGGCCCAACAGCTCCATGCTACGGGTTTGGGGGGCTCTGTAGTGTCTGTCCTTGGCGGGGCGGGGGCTGAGTTCCAGGCTGTGCTCCCATCACGGCCCCCCCGGAGAGCCCCCAAGTGGCGGTGACCCCTCCTGCTGCCCTTCCCATTACCTACTGGGCCGCACTTACCCACCCACGTCCTGCTTTCCAGATGACGTGGGCCTGTTCTCAGATCTGCATGCCGGAGGCCCGCGGGGCCACGGACGGGGGGGCCCCTCTGTTGCCTACTCCTTCTGCTCCTACGCCTTCCCGGAGCAGTCAGGTAAGGGGGGGGGGTGCCGGCAGACCAGCTTCGGGCGCCCCATCGCCACAGATTCTTCCTCTGGCTCCAAATTGTACCCAGCCCCATTGTCCCCAGTCGCACCCTGCTTCTCCCCCCTGTGACGATGTGGTTCTGGCGGAACCCAACTGAGAGTGCCAACTCAGGACAAATTGCTCAAACAGGGCAGTTACAGCCCTAGGCTGGGGTTTTTCCACCTCTAAGGCAAACCAAACCAGCCAGACTAAGAGGACTTCGGTCTCACCCCACTGGCTAATCGCAAGTCTCACAAGCAATCTCCTAGACACTCCAGTTTCCCAGTATCACCACCAGTGCCACTCGTTATGGGGACAAATGGTTATGAAAACCAATATCCCAATATACACAATCCCAAAGGACCAAGCCCCAGACCCAGGTCAATATACAACTCAGATCTTTCCCACAAATCACGCTGTTGCCAATCCTTTAGAATCTAAAATCTAAAGGTTTATTCATAAAGGGAAAAAGATAGAGATGAGGGTTAGAATTGGTTAAATGGAATCAATTACATATAGTAATGGCAAAGTTCTTGGTTCAGGCTTGCAGCAGCGATAGAATAAACTGCAGGTTCAAATCAAGTCTCTGGAATACATCCCCCGCTGGGATGGGTCCTCAGTCCTTTGTTCAAAGCTTCAGCTTGTAGCAAAGTTCCTCCAGAGGTAAGAAGCAGGATTGAAGACCAGATGGAGATGAGGCATCAGCCTTTTATAGTCTTTTCCAGGTGTAAGAACACCTCTTTGTTCTTACTGTGGAAAATTACAGCAAAATGGAGCCTGGAGTCACATGGAGTCACCAGCTTGTCTGGGATGTCACCCAGCAGCATAGCATAAGTTTGAAATACAGACAGTATAGAGCCAATATTCATAACTTCAACTACAAAATTGATACACACATATAGACAGCATAATCATAACCAGTAAACCATAACCTTGTCTAAGACACTCCATTTGACCCCCTTTATACAAGATTTTGGTGCCACTACAGGACCTTGGTTGCAACAATGATCTATATGGTCCCAGATTATATCAATAACATCACACCCCCATCCTTCCTCTGAGTCCTGGCCCTGTCTGAGCCCTGCACATCTAGCGCCATTCCCCTGCCTGGCCCAAACCTCCTCCCCTCGGCTCCAGCTCCGTATCCCCTGCCTGGCCTGGCCCAAACCTCCGCCACCCGGCTCCGGCTCCCCTGCCCGGCCCGGCCCAAACCTCCTCCCCTCGGCTCCGGCTCCGTATCCCCTGCCTGGCCCGGCCCAAACCTCCTCCCCTTGGCTCTGACTCCCCTGCCCGGCCCAAACCTCCTCCCCTCAGCACCGGCTCTGGCTCTCCGGCCTGGCCCAAACCTCCTCCCCTCGGCTCCGGCGACTCAGGGACAGTCTCGTCCTGCAAATCCTGGACAGACATTTTCTATCCCAGTTTCAAACCAGCCCTGCAGTGCATCCCCTGGCTGACCCGTTACCGCCCCGTCACCCTTTCACACCCGGCCAAGGGACCCCCTGCGATCTCACGGGGCTCCCCGGGGCCTGGCCCAGGCTGGGGGCTCCTGCTGTGAGGTTGTCGCCCTGTTTTTCAGATTTCTTCTCCTCGTCCTTCAGCCCCGGCACCGACCCCGGAATCGGCTTCCGCTCGGTTTCCACCTCCACCACCTTCGTCAACGGCAAACGCATCACCACGAAGAGGTAGGGATGGGCCAGCGCGGACCGGCCAATGGCCAAGCCAGCCTGTCTCCCAGGCTGCTCCAGGGGACCAGATCATGGGGCCAGCCAATCCCATGTCCCACCACTCGCCACGCCAGAGCCCCCCATGCCCCCCCCCCCCCAGTTTGGTGTCCCCCCACCCTCCTGACTCCATGGGGCCTCATTGACACCGGACGTGAGACACTTTGTGCAAGACTTGTTGCAGTTGCATCACAGTGGTGATATCAGTGCTAGAAATGGTCGTCTCCACTCAAACAGCAGCGCCCGCTCTCTTCCCCAGGATCATCGAGAACGGCCAGGAGCGGGTGGAAATCGAGGAGGACGGAGAACTGAAAGCGACAGAGGTGAATGGTGAGGAGAAGAGCTGCTGGGTCTCTGGCTGGGGGTTGCGCAGGGCCGGTAACGGTTGTGCCTGCCCTGGCCGGTGCAATTACCAGGGAGACGGGGGGGGGAAGTGTGCCTGGAACGGAGACGCCGCGTGGTGCAGAAAACCGGGAACCAGAGCAGTTCAGTAAGTAGCCCGGGCTGGCCGAGCAGACGGGCATCGGGAGCGTCTGGGGGAGAGCCCGTCGCAGAGACACCACTCCTGGGACACGGCCCCTGATGCTGCACCCCCACCCTGATGCTGACAGACAGGCAATCTCCCCTCGGCCGTTGGCTGAGCTGGGGACGCGGGTCAGGCCCTGGGGGACAGTGGTCCTCGCACCTGGGGCTAACTGGCCCCTTATTGGCAGTGTCAGCAGAGGGGCCCCAGGGAACTGCCCCAGCTGGAGGTGCTGGGCAGGGGCTGTGGGGAGCTCCGCTTGCCCACACTGTGCCCATCTGAGCCCAGAGGAATTCGCTCTCCGGGGCTGTGGATCCCTCCTATCACAACCTGCAATACCACCCTGGGGCAAGGAGGCGAGGCCCGTCTGGAGACTGAACCTGGCCCCCTGCTTCCCTGGCTGGGAGGCTGGCCAGGGTCCTGGGGACGCTCCAGCTGGGTCCCTCTCCCATGACTCTGGTTCGGGGTGCTTTTCTTACAGACGTAGCCAAAAATGTGGAGCCTCAGGTGGGGCTGCACCGCCAGGAACAGCACGACATCCTGAGCTCTGCGTCTGACTCCCCCACCCTGCAGCACCCCCAGAGCACGGCCTCCTCCTACGTGCTCCCCGAAGAGGAGGACAAAGATCTGCACCGGGCCATGGCCTACAGCCTGTCAGAGCTGGAGGACGTGGGGCAGCACCGAGCGGACGCCCGCGGCTCCAAGAAGAGACGGGGCAGCTCGCGGCGGGCCCGCAAGGGGGCCAGCGAGGAGGCGGGCGCTGCCCTGGCGCCTCAGAGCAGGACCAAGGGAGCAGAGAGCCCTGGCGGAGGAGACAACGCGAAGGAGGGGGAGGAGAGGACGGCCGAGGTGCAGAAAGTGGGGAGCAATCCAGGAGCTGCGGGGGGTGGGTTGGTGCCGGAGGAGAGCGAGTTCACGCTCAGCGACCTCAAGTCAGCGCTTGCTGAGATCGAGTCTGCTCCTGACGACATGGAGTCGGTCGTGTGTGTCCTCCTGTGATGGTGGCAAGCTCGGATCCGCTGGGCCTGCCCCAGGCAGCGGCTAGTAAAGGTCAGGGTCAGCGCTCCAAGCCTGCGTCTTTATCATTCACTGGGTGAGCAGCCACTCAGGCAGGGCGGGAGCAAAGCCTCCCGGGCCAGGGTCTGTCTGGCCTCCAGCCCCATTGCCCCGGGAGCGGCTTGGGGCCCCCTGGCCCTGGGGGCTGCCTGGCGCTCCCCGTCTCCTCTGGGACCGTATGTCCAGGGTGGAGGTGCAGCGCTTTGGGAGGACCATAGTCCTGGGGTGAGGGAGGGCGCGCTGGTTAGTCCCCTCCGGGGGCTCGGGGTTTGGCTGAGGGGCATCTGTGATCTGCATGCCCAGGCGAGAGGCTTTTCCCAGCTACTCCCTGGAAACCGGTGTCAGCAGAGGGTGCTGGGGGTCCCTGGCTAGCCGCGTCTGAGTCCTGGGCCCTCGGGGAGCAGCTGGAAGGGGTCAGATCGAGGGCCTGGAGCAATTGACTTATGAGGCGACACGAAAGGAGCTAAACCTGCAGCATGGCCAGAGGAGCGCGGGGTGGAGGTGAGAGCTGGCTCCACGGAGCTGGAGGAGGAGCCCCGCTAGCATTAGCGCGGGACAAGGGGAGCAAGTGGGAGTAGCAGAGTGAAACTAACCAGGGAGTGAGAGCAGGGAAAGCTGCCTGGCAGGTGCTGGACCAGGCTGGGGGATCCTTTCCCGCAGGGGGGGGCAGAAAGCCCGAGACCCCACCTGCTGCACGCGAGATGAATCCAGCTGCAAGCACGAGCCGCCCAGCAGCACACAGAGCTGCAGCCAGTCCCTGGCAAGGTTTCCTGCTGCCCCCTCTCTCCTGTGCACAAGAGGTGCCGAAGCAAGCCGTGTGCGTTCAGAACACGGCCCCTCCCAGGAAAGCCCGGGCAGTGGAGGGGGACTCTGTTAGGGGGCTAGAGAGCTGCTCTGCCTCAAATACCCCCTCCCATCCCCCAGGGAGAGGCAGGTAGAGCCACTCATCGGCTGACTGGGGGTCCCACTTCTAGCCGTGGATCGTGTGCGGAGCATCCCACTCCCCAAACATACGTTGGGGCAGAATGAACACGGCATTTGGAAGGGAGATCAGGCCTCAGCGAGCTGTTCGAATTCTCTGAGGGCTCAACAAACGTGGACAAGGGGGATCCAGTGGCTACAGGGTACTTGGACATTCAGAGCACCTTTGACAAGGTCCCTCACCAAAGGCTCTTCAGCAAAGCAGGCAGTCATGGGATAAGAGGGAAGGTTCCCTCATGGATCAGTAAGTTGTTAAAATACAGAAAACAAAGGGTAGGAATAAATGGTCAGTTTTCACAGTGGAGAGAGGTAAATAGTGGTGTCCCCCAGGGGTCTGTACTGCACCCAGTTCTATTCCACATATTCATAACTGACCTGGAAAAGGGGGTAAACAGGGAGCTTGCAACATTTGCAGATGATACAAAATTACTCAAGATAGTTAAGTCCCAGGCAGACTGTGAAGAGGTACAAAAGGATCTCGCAAAACTGGGTGACTGGATGACTGAAATTCAATGTTGATGAATGCAAAGTAATGCACATTGGAAAACATAATCCCAACTATACATATAAAATGATGGGTCTAAATTAGCTGTTACCACTCAAGAGAGAGATCTTGGAGTCATTGTGGCCAGGGCCGACGAGGGGGGGGGGGAAGCTGGTACAAATTACCGGGGCCCAGCGGTCCAGAAGGGGGCCCGGGGCCCGGCTTCCCCCCTGTCGGCCCTGTTTAGCCGGTCTGCCCTAGCTGGGGCGGCCCAAAATTTTTTTTCACCAGGGCCCGAACCTGCTCTCGGTGGCCCTGATTGTGGCTAGTGCTCTGAACACATCCACTCAATGTGCAGTGGTGTCAAAAAGCGAACAGAATGCTGGGAATCATTAAGAAAGGGAGAGATAATAAGACAGAAAATATCATGTTGCCTCTATATAAATCCATGGTACGTCCACACCTTGAATACTGTGTGCAGATGTGGTCGCCCCATCTCAAAAAAGATCTATTGGACTTGGAAAAAGTACACAGAAGAACAACAAAAATGATTAGGGGATGGAACAGCTTCCATATGAGGAGAGAGTAAAATGACTGGGACTGTTCAGCTTGGAAAGGAGATGGGTAATGGGGGGATATGATAGAGGTCTATAAAATCATGACTGGCGAGGAGAGAGTGAATCGGGAAGTGTTATTTACCCCTTCACATAACACAAGAACTAGGGGTCATCCAATGAAATTAATGGGCAGACGGTTTAAAACAAACAGAAGGAAGTATTTCTTCACACAAGGCACAGACAACCTGTGGAACTCATTGCCAGAGGATGCTGTGAAGGTGTGATGCAGTAGGGAGCAGGCGGATTGACCTGGGAATGTTGGCTAGAGACTGTCTGCATGGGGGATGGGAGAGCAGGGGATGACTTTAGGTGAGGGACAATACCTGAGCATGTAACCTGAGCCAGGAAGGGGGGTGGGGCCAGGTGACACCTTTGCCCAGGAAACTGGACAAAGGCGAGAGGTGGAGCTGGGAGGAGGGGGAGAGAGCCTGCTGGAGGGGTTTTGGTTTCAGTTTGGTGCTGGGTGGTGGAACTGGGGTCTAAGCTCCCTGGCCCCCCAGAAGGACTTGACTGAGGGGTCCTGGTTATACCTACAAGCCCTGCTGTAGCCTGTGTTCCTATTGTCCAATAAACCTTCCATTTTACTGGCTGGCTGAGAGTCACGGTGAATCCCAGGAAGAGGGGTGCAGGGCCTTGACAGAAGGCCAAAACTATAACTGGGTTCAAAAAAGAACTAGAGAAGTTCCTGGGGGATGGTCCATCAATGGCTATTAGCCAGGCTGGGCAGGGTCACAACCCGCTGTTCTGGGTGTCCCTAAGCCTCTGACTGCCAGACGCTGGGACCGGACAGGGGGTGGATCACATGATAATTGCCCTGTTCTGTTCATTGCCCCCGAAGCACCTGGCCCTGGCCACACTCAGAGACAGGGCACTGGGCTGGTTCTGTTCCAAACCCCCCTGCCCACTGCCTGGGGCCAGCCGGGGAGCTGGCAGGAAGCCTGGCCTGCTCCCCACTGGCCAGGACACCAGGAGCTGGGCCAAGCACAGCGCTGGGCTTATTCCCCTCCCTCTCAGCCCCTCTGGGTCCTGGGACCCGCCTCATCCCCCCACCCCCCAGACTCCCTGCTAGCAACCACAGCCTGGTGGGAAAGTGCGGAGTCAGCACAGCTGCCCCCTCCCTCCCTGAGGCTGGTGTCAGCAGCCACCTGACAGCTGGTTTCCAGCATTTCCTGGGGCAGGTCTGCTGCCTCTGCAGCTCCCCTCGCTCGTGCTCTCAGCCCTGGACACAGACCGACCCGCTGGGGCTGGGGCTGGGGAGCGCTGGGCCCGGCATACTGTCTCCGAGCCCAGGCTCCCTGGGCTCCCCAGCATCAGGGCCCCCTACTGCGATTCCCACGATTCCCAGGCCCTGAGTGCGGCAGGGTCCACCCTGGGGTAACTGCACAGTGCTTGCGTTCACACGCCGACCCTCCGATGCACTAGTGCCGCGTTCACACACCGGCCCTTCAATGCACTAGTGCCGCGTTCACACGCCGGCCCTTCGATGCACTAGTGC